CAGGCTGGCAGTGCGGCGCCGCGCCGGCAGCGCGGCGTTGTGCCGGCAGTGCGGAGCGTCAGGCCAGCAGTGCGGGCGTTTGTGCTGGCAGCGTGGGTGCCAGGCTGGCAGTGTGGTGTCAGTGCTGGTGCGTGGGCGTTGTGTTGAAAGTGTGGGTGTTGTGTGGGCTGTGTTGGTAGTGTGGGTGTTGTGTTGGTAGTGTGGGTGTTGTGTTGGTAGTGTGGGTGTTGTGCTGGTAGTGTGGGTGCTGTGTTGGTAGTGTGGGTGTTGTGTTGGTAGTGCGTGGCACAGGGTTGGTAGTGTGGGTGTTGTGTTGGTAGTGTGTGGCGTTGTGTTGGTAGTGTGGGTGTTGTGTTGGTAGTGTGGGTGGGCCAGGGTTGGTAGTGTGGGTAAGCAGGGGTTGGTAGTGGAGGTTGTGCTGGTAGTGGGGGTGCTTTCAGGTTGGTAGTGTGTGCGTGGTGTTGGTAATGTGGGTGTTGTGTTTGGTAGTGTGGGGTGTCAGGGTTGGCAGTGGGGTGGTGTTGGCAATGTGGCGTCAGGCTGGCAGTGTGGGGTGTGGTGTTGGTAGTGTGGGTGTTGTGTTGGTAGTCAGGGTGTTGTGATAGTAGTGTGGGTGTTGTGTTGGTAGTGTGGAGGTTGTGCTGGTAGTGTGGGTTGTGTTGGTAGTGTGTAAGGTTGTATTGGCAGTGTGGGTGTTGTGTTGGCAGTGCGGAGTGCTGTGCTGGCAGTGTATGCTGTGCTGGCAGTGCGGGTGTCAGGCTGGTAGTGTGGGCGTTGTGCTGGCAGTGCGGGTGCTTGTGTCAGTAGTGCGGGCGTTGTGCCGGCAGTGTGTGGCGCTGTGCTGGCAGTGTGGCGCTGTGCTGGCAGTGGGTGCTGCGCTGGCAGTGCGGGTGCTGTGTTTGGCAGTGCGGGTGCTGTGCCGGCAGTGCTCGCGCCGTGCCGGCAGCGGGCGCTGCGCTGGCAGCGCGGGTGCCTGTGCCGGCAGTGCGGAGCGTCAGGCCGGCAGTGTGCGTCAGGCCGGCAGTGCGGGCGTGGCGCTGGCACGTGGGCGTTGTGCTGGCAGGCGTGGGGTGCCAGGTTGGCAGTGCGGGGGTGGTGTCATAATGTGGTGTCAGGTTGCAGTGTGGGTAAAGCAGAAAGTGTGGGTGCTGTGCTGGTAGTCAGGGTGTTGCGATAGCAGTGTGGGTGTTGCGTTGGTAGTGTGAGTGCCAGGCTGGTGCAGTGTGGGTGTTGTGCTGGCAGTGTGGGGCGTTTGTGCTGGTAGTGTGGGTGCTGTGTTGGCAGTGGAGGTTGCGTTGGCAGTGGGTGCTGTGTTGGTAGTGTGGGTGTTGTGCTGGTAGTGTGGGTGTTGCTGTGGTTGGTGTGTGGGTGTTGTGGCTGGTAGTGTGTGGGCGTTGTGTTGGTAGTGTGGCGTTGTGTTGGCAGTGCGGGTGCCAGTTGGTAAAGTGTGGGTGCTGTGTTGGCAGTGGGTGTTGTGTTGGTAGTGTGGGTGTTGTGCTGGCAGTGGGCGTCAGGTTGGCAGTGCGGGCGCTTGTGTTGGCAGTGTGGGTGTTGTGTTGGTAGTGTGGGTGTTGTAGTTGGTAGTGTGGGTGTTGTGTTGGTAGTGTGGGTGTTGTGTTGGTAGAAGGTAGACTGTATGTGAGCGTTAGCTGTTATTTACCTCTACAGTCTAAACACCCTAGGCTACACTACACACACACACACACACACACACACACACACACACACACACACACACCTGTCACATTCTTCCTCCTACAGCCGCAGAGATGGGGGGGTGGGAATGATTGTATCTGGAGTACCATATGGAGGAGGGAAGGGGAGGAGAGGAGGAACTACTCGTCCTATGCTACCTTTTAAGATTGAAGACTTCCATTAACGCTTAGACGATTGATTCACCTACCTGGTTAGCGTGTTTGAGTTACTTTCATTATTGCAATAACTGATCTTACGATTAAGTTTCTTTTTTCTTTTCACCTCTTATCACCACTTATCATGTCTTGTAGTGTAAATATATCACTCACTTTCTTCTTGTTAGGATTCGGTATGAGAGAGAGAGAGAGAGAGAGGAGAGAGAGAGTGTGTGTGTGTGTGTGTCTCAGCTGTGTGTGTGTGTGTGTGTGTGTGTGTGTGTGTGTGTGTGTGTGTGTGTGTGTGTGTGTGTGTGTGTGTGTGTGTGTGTGTGTGTGTGTGTGTGTGTGTGTTTTGATGTTTTCGTTAACTAGTTGAAAGTTTTGCTCGTGGTAACTTTCTTGTTGGTGGCTGAGCTGCTTTCTGTTAAGTGGTGCAGCTTGTAGGTATAGACACAGGTTCGCTTTCCTCTGATGATTTGATTTACTTAAGATCCCATATAGCACACACACACACACACACACACACACACACACACACAATGTAAGTCTGTATATTTTCAGCCACCAGCTGCAACTCTATTAATAAACCGTTTATTATTATTATTATTATTATTATTAAGATTAACAGAGGCTAACACATATAGTATTAGCCGCACTTTGTAGGTTCATTCTGTTCAGGGATAATTTACATACCTTCATTTAATGGTGGAATCCATTCTAAAAGAGAGAGAGGTTCACTTTATTAGTGGATACCTTCTGTTGGTATTGGTCAGTTCTTCTTTCTAGACAGGTGTGATGACCCTCAGGTGTGATGACCCTCTTGATTGGTTCTTTGTGTTGGTAGGTAAGTGTGCTGTTGGCGTGAGGGTTCTGTTGACATGTGACACACCTCTGGGCACCATAACACTCACACCTTCATACTCATTGCACACACACACACGCACACACACACACACACACGCGCGCGCGCGCATGTCTTGAGATGGGTGGTTAATATGAGAGTCCAGGAGGGAAATTTTTGTCATGGTGTGTGTGTGTTTGTGTGTGTTTCTTTTTTGTTTGTCTCTTTTAGTGTCTGTCTTGTGTAGTATCTGTCATTCTATTCTACCTATATTTGGGTCCATTGCTTGATGGAAGATTTGACAAACACCAGGCAGACTAGACCTC